TCTCTGGATTTTCTCACCAGCCAGATAAACTTGTCCAAGGATGTTTATCTGGCTGGTGAGAAAATCCAGAGACTGGAACAAGAATGCAGCCATCTTCTCGAGCTGGTCAAGAGCAAGACAGATGAGGACGGTGGCAAGACTATTGATGCCATCCTTGCAAACGACACAGAAAAAACAAGAGCCACGTACCGCAAGGTGAAAAACAAGAAGATGCAGAAACTACAGCCCCACCAGAGTACGGAATCCGGGACCGGTGAGCATAAGCCGAGTCCTATCGAAGTCGTGAACCTGTCGAAGAGGGTCCTATCCCCTGCTGAGCTGTCCCTTCTGAGCAGAGGCCTAAGCTTCGTGCCATCAAGAAAACAGACGGTAGCCCAGCTGACTGCAGACTTGAAGGAATGGGAACGTCTCATGCGCCTGCGAGAATACTGGCATGACAACCGGAACGCGCCGAGCTCCACCGCGGGAACACCTGATGCTGACTCGAAGTACAAACAGTCCAGATGGGTGCCGCCGAGGGGCAGGGACCCCTGGTTGGACATGTACGGGGACCCGCAGTTGCTACTGTACACGAACCCTAACTCTAGCCGTCTGTCCTGTCCAGTAACGACCGATAACATTGATATCGACTGTCGGTCCGTGTACAAGAGCAGCTGAGGTTTTCTGTGCGTGCCCTCTGACAGCTTTTCGTTGTTCCCTGTGAGGGTGCTGGGACAATTTACTCAGGGTCGCTGTACAGTAGCAACTGCGGGTCCCCGTACCTCGATGAGGTTACAGCCAGCGTGCTACGAGACAGGGTATATAGAACAACGGGTACACCAACGACGCGGAAAGCGCCCATTTTACCGGGACAAGTTACAGGGTAGGTGATATATTTTTTGTTTATCGAAAAAATAGAGTATTCCATTCTGAAGAGTAAAGCCAAATTCATAAAGCAGTTATTTTTAAATTATATGTACCAGAAATAACATACTAACCATAGTTTAAAACTTAGTCTAAAGTTAGTTGAAAAGCGTATGGTTGATACTAAAATGGAAGGAATCAATGGAAGGCGGAAATGGCGCAGCTGTTTCATTCTTGAAATGTGTTCGCAAGCAGGATTTACGTGATGTTTGCGACATCTATGAATGTAATCGTGGATGCTGATTGGCTGAGCGAGTCCATGAGCAGTATCACTAATTTACGCTTGTACAGGGTTGAGGCAATGTGCGCATGCGCAGGAACTTGTGCTCTCATGGAGGGGCTTTTGGTACCTCGGGCAGCGCCCAATGCTTTTTGGACCTGTTATGCCCTCCGCATCGAAAAACGCTAGATAGAAAGGTTGTAGAGGAAGCTTGAGGCTACCTTTCCCCACAATAATATTGGCACTTTATCTATTAGCTTACGTATGGGGCTCGCTTGAAAACGGTCGATTTAACATGGAAACCCTATGGGGTAGTAGTTTTTGAGCGCCCATTTGGCCTAATGCTACCAACTGTTACTGGCTACCCCTGCTACGAGAGACCAAGACCCGAGGGCCTGGCAACTTGTCCAAGGATGAAGAGGCCGCCCTCCTGAGTCTCATACAAGATGACAGCATAGTCATCAGACCTGCCGACAAGGGCTCCAGCATCGTAATCATGGACACAGAAGATTACCTCGCGAAACTGGACCAGGAGGTGGGTGACGACACTACCTACCAGCCAGTTGCAGGTGACCAGACGTCACAGGTCCACAAACGTGTCAGAGGAATAGTTGACAATCTCGCACGTAACGGCCACATCGGTCCCCACCAGAAGACCTACATGATCCCAGCCAGGCCTCAGCCAGGTCACCTACAAGGAAACCCAAAGCTGCACAAGCCCGGTGCCCCCCTCAGAGCCATCATCAGCGGCAGAGGGCACGCCACGGAGAGGATTGCGGAGATGGCTGAGGATCAGCTCCGCACCCATGTGGAGCACCAGCCATCGTATGTACGAGATACGAGCGACTTCATCTCCAAACTCCGAGATACCGCACAACCCATCGTGGCCCAGGTTGGACATACCCCCCTGCTATTCTACATGGATGTAAAAAAACTGTATCCCAGTGTGCCACGGGCGGACGGGATTGAGGCGTGCAGAGTGGCACTAGATGGCCGGACTGATGCATCTATACCTACGGCGAGTGTAATCGAAATGATCGAGACCGTGTTGGACAGCAATAACTTCAATCTCACTCCCGACCGCCAGTTCATTCAGACTGATGGCACGGCCATTGGTTCGAGGCTCGGCAAAAATTATGCTTGTACATATATGGGGCGATGGGAACAACAACTTCTAGAAGGGGTCCGCTTAAAACCTATGCTGTATCTGCGTTACATAGACGATATCTTCGGGGTGTGGCTCCATGGCCAGGAGGAGCTCAAGAACTTTCATGACAGCGCCAATCAAATCCATCCTAAAATCCAGGTGGATCTCCGCAGCTCTGAATCAGATATAGAATTTCTGGATGTAATAGTCAAGCTGAGTGAGAAGGGATATCTGTCGACTGATCTATTTGAGAAACCGACCGATTCGAAGTCGTATCTCCATTTCAATTCAGACCACCCCACTCACACCAAGAAGGCGGTCCCATACGGCCTGGGCCTGAGACTTAAACGGATCTGTCAGAAAGAGGAGGACTACCAGAGACACAGGGAGAACCTGAAGGCGAGACTGATGGAGCGACAGTACCCGGCACCTTTTGTAGAGCGACAGCTGCGTAAGGTTGACAAGATCGGCAGTAAGCAACCAGGTAGTAAGGCACCGGAGAACAACAAGACAGGCCGGGTCCCCATGGCCATAACCTTTTCCCAGTTCCTTCCAAACATGACAAAACTGTTGAAAAGCAAGAGACACCTACTGCAGAGATCCGAAAGACTTGAGCCAGATCTTCTCCATGGACCCAATGATTGCCTACAAACGGGGTAAAATTTTACGCGATATACTTGTTCATAGGAAAACGAGAGGTGCCGTATCGAGCGGGACTGAACGCAAGATCGACAGCTGTGGAAAGGAGTGTGTGATCTGCAAGCGCATGTACAGAGATGTGGAGCGAGTGGCAGGCGTGAGTCCAGGGTGTGTAACGACGTATGACAGGACAATCGGGTGCAGAAGTGAGAATGTTGTGTATGGCATCTGGTGCGACGTATGTAAATGTGTATGCTATGTGGGCGAGACCGGCGGGCGTCTTTATACCCGTATCCAAAATCATCTGTCCTCCATACGAGCTGAAAATCCAGCCGTCCCTCTCCCTGTCAGCAGTCATTTCCGCTCAGCAGATCATAACGTGAGCGACGTACGCGTCGTAGGGTTAGAGCGCGTGTGGCGGCAAAATGTAGAATACCGGAGGGCAAGGGAGCGTCGGTGGATGAGCCTGCTAGGAACGCGAGGAGGATGTGAGAGCCTGAACAAGAGAAACGGTTAGGTCTGCAGCACCGGAATGTGGACCCTATGGAGACCTGAGTTGTCGGGTCACAACGATACGTGATTTTTGTATTGCTCAATTTTTTTTTGTCTGCGTAGTACGATCTATGTTACTCAATACCGGGATACGAATTATCTAATGATTATCTCCAAATCAGTGGTCGGGTAAATTCAGTCGCACGTTAATGCGGTTGTAAGACATTTGCGGCTCGGTTGTGACGATAACTGTATCCCTCGGCGAAACGGAATGGCCATTGTATTATCTGATGAAGCTGAGAATACATCAGCGAAACGTCTGAAGTTATTTAACTTTTTAACTATATATATATATATATATATATATATATATATATATATATATATATATATATATATCTTGTGGTCAATGTTTAGTGTAACACCATGACATTTTTCAATGCCAAAGTTAATTTGCAACGAGCCAAAGTTTATTTGCATTGCAACGAGCAGTAATGTGATGTGTGGAACATGTAATATACATGATTGGGAACCGCTTACTCTGTAACCCAAAGTGGCATGTTTGCATATATGAGAATGTTCAGTGTTCATCGTCTATAGAGAATAAAGCATTTGCATACTTGTAGATGGATTGGTCGGTGGTCGCCCAAAATAGTATCATAGCTGCAATTTTGACACCATCGTGTTCGTCATGCTCAGCCACGTCGAATGATATGCTTTTTATGTCGAGTGCTTTTGGTATGGGTGAGGTCAATATAGGATGGTGACCTTCGTCCAAGGTCAGGCAGGTCATAAGATGTTGCACATTATTCAATTCGGCAGATCTTAGAGGAGGCTGGATCTAACGATATACCCTGGACGTCGTTGAGTGCATTCGTGCCTTTTCCGTCTAAGATCACTGTCAGCGCCAGAAAAGCTGTCTCTATATTTCCCCATTGGCTTATAATGGTCAGGTCAGATCACCTGACCGACCTGACCTTAGGTGACCCTTAGGAGAAATCTGAAGTTAACAACTCTTGCGAATTAGGGAGTTTGATAAGTTCTGTAAATTTCATCTACCTGTGATAGATCTCCTTGCATTGATGGAGTTGCGATGTTGCGACGTTTTTGAGACCGTGCAGAGGTTCACTTACGAGTATGACGGCATCAGGTCAGTGACCTGACCTGACCTGAAAATGAGGTTGATGCCACAGAATCCGGATTGAATCAAAGGTCAGGTATGCCAACTTACAACTCTCCATCTCCAGCGCGTTCACCCCTACATTGCCTTGCAGCCATGGTCTGCCACACTTAAACGAGAAAATTTGTGGTCTGTCCGAGATTCGAACACAGGACCTTCCGATGTGTCAAAAACATTGGGTCACATATGGACAAATATTTCGAAAACGGTTGGAAGAGCTTGAACTTTTCATCCCAAAAATGAAAATAAAAATGTTGTAGCTATCTTTTGACATACATTATATGTGGATGCCAACACTACGAGACCTTGAAAACCGAGTGCGAAAAGTCGCATTTTAACACGCAACCCTATGGGCTAGTAGGAAAAGTCACGCCCATGCTGCCATATGACTTTAGAGGAGGCTGGGTCTAACGACATACCCTGGACGTCGTTGACGCAGGCGCCGACGTCCTCTCGAAAGGCAGGGAACGGCGGCTCGCAGCGGCACCGACATGCCGCCGGCTCCTGCGGGCTCTCGACCGACAGGCCACCCCACTTATAGCAGAATGCCGCGTCACATGGGCCTGTCAGAGCAGAGAGACACACGGTTACGCATCAGGGAGCCCTGTCATTTACCTGGGTACATGGTCGATCCAAGGAACTCCAGTTAAGTACAGGTGTCGCGGGTTTTAGCGGTAGGTTTTGCACGCGTATTTGGAAATTCCGACCTCGACGAGCATCTTTGGTAGAAAACCACCACTTTGGTAGGGGAAACTACTGCTGTCTGCTACCATTTGCACTGCATGTGTCGCTATAGCTGCGACATCCATGGGTGGAAAATCGTTTTCAAAGTTGGTGTGGCGCCAGTTGCTTGGAACAATGCTATATAGCAGAAACCGCGTTGACCGCAGCTAGTTGCCAAAATATTTTATAAACATATTAGTATCCAGTGGATTACTTGTCGTCTTTCCTGAAACTCATTGTTCATCATCATCAGTGCTTTCCGCGATAACTAATTTTTGGACGTGCGATAAAGATAAAACGATAAAAAAGGTTTGCGATAACGATAAATGATAAACGATGATTTTTTTCAAAAAAATTAACAGCGATAGCGATAAAGCGACAAAACGATAACGATAATTGTTTTTTTAACAGCGATAACGAAACGATAAACGATAAAACGATAACGATAATTGTTTTTTTTAACAGCGATAACAAAAGCGATAAGAAACAGCTTAAATAAGTGTACCTAAAGTTTATTTCGTTTTCGGCCCAAAAAAGGTTTCGCGGGAAGAGCTCACCGCATTCAATTTAACTTTTGGCATTGTTTTTACATTTTCGAGGAAAAGGTCAATGATTCTTCACGTATCTTAGGTGTAGAATTATTAGGGCTACAAAACTGCTATTTAAATTTTTTGAATTTTTCGGATTTTGACCCCCAAAAATTTAAAAAAAAAAATTGAATATAATTGCCGACCAATCCAAAAAGTTTTTCGATTTTAGAAAACTGGAATATATGTGATAGCCCCTACCGACTTCTATCCACATACCAAATTTTAGATCGATACTTCTCATTTTTGGCCAACTTAACCCGCGCCCTGCTGGGGGGTGTTTGAACACCCCCTTGCGGTTTTTCCCGAATATCTCAAAAACGGCGGCGCGGAGCGCCGCCGTTTTTGGTACACCTTATCATACATCAATTCTACACATGTTGTGAAAATTTCAGACCAAGGTCATTCAAGGTCAGGTCACCAGATCACTTGAAGTGACCTCACCTCATAAAAAGTTTCAATGTCTGTCATAGCTACACCGAGTGACCGATCGCTTTGAAACTTTCAGCGATTGCTAAGAGCAATAGCATGTACAAAATGTATATCTCAGAATTTTGATATCGATGACCTAAGGTCAGGTCAATTTTGCGACCTCCCCATTATAAGTCAATGGGAGAAAATTGAAATGCGCCTCTTTTGGACGAAAGACATTATAAACACTCCCAAACGCTGAATTACAAGTGGCTTAGACACACTGAACATGAAAATGGTGTCCGTGACCCCTGTTTATGCCATGAGGTCATCTTAGGTCACGAATAGTATCTAACAGTTTTTCGCAAATAACTTTTGATAGAGGCATGCTAGAGCGATGAAAACGCCTTAGATGTGTTCAGCTCGACGATACAGATCGACTGATATGCAACATGACCCTTTCCGGTCAGGTCATGACCTTGACCTGAGGTCAAATTTTCAAGTTGACCTTCTAAGGTCAAGTTATAGTTCATTCGATGCGTCTTGACGAGAAGAACACGATGCCGGTAAAAGTAAGCTCGTACAAGGCTTGGGTCAAAAGTTATTGCAGAAAAACTGTTTCCGAAAAATCGGCTATTTTTGCCGTTTTTGGCCCCTGCAGGCAAAACCATTGACGTAAGGTCAAATCTGAGAGAATTATTCAGAAAGGGCGTTAATTGGGCTATCGAATGCGCTTTTCCGCGGCGCTGTAGCTCTATTGGTTCCCGAGTTATGCGTTGGCTTCTTGGAAATTTTCGACATTCGACCTGGAAATCGGCGAAATTTTGCCTTCAATGACCTCTGGTGACCTGACCTTTGACCTGACCAAAAAATTGACCGAAATGATTTCGTCATTATTTTTGACGCTCTTTCGAACGCCGCCTTCCGCATATCGCTACGTGGTTCAGGAGCCGAGTTAGAAGGGGGGTGTTCAAACACCTCCCCCCCCCCAGCAGGGCGTGGAAATCCAGGACCCCCAGCCGGGCGCGGGTTAAAGCAAAAAAACAATTGTTCAAAATTGATGAAGTCAAACTTTCAAACTCAATTTTTAGCAATTCTAGACAACGTAGCGCAAAACAAAGACCACCATTAGACTCGCCGTGACGAGCTGCATTGATTCTATACCCATTTTATGCAAAAATATCTACTTCAAAATTTGACCTTTTATGACCTGACATTGACCTGACCTCTACCAGGAAGTGATCTAAACCGTTACTGATGTTCTTATAACCAACTCCATTGAGTTTGAAATGGTCATAAAACATGCATCACACAGCCCTAGTGAAATTGGGTTCATGTGCTGACCCTTGGTGACCTGACGTGTGACCTGACCTGGTATTATCAGTGACCTCCAATAGCAGCATAGTACTAAGCAACTGACGCCCTATCGCTGATTTTCGATAACATGCATTTAACTCCATGTTATAGCGCATTCCCTAGAAGACCCGTGACCGGCAAAACATTTTATCTTTGACCTGACCTGTGACGTCATCGGTGACCCCGAGGTCAATGAAATTGGATGTCCCTCAACAAATTTGACAGGGCTTTCAAACGCCGTTTGAATTTTGCGGATCTGTCCAGCAGTTTCGGAGATACGAGGGGAGCAAAAAATAGCCCCCCCCCCCCTCCACCAGGTCGCGTTATAAACAGACCCCACCAGGCGCGGGTTAAAGGAAAAGGGCCACCTTTAACATGGGGATTGAAACTGAGATAGCCATCTTGTAGCCCGTGTCCGAAAACCAGTCTGTCTACCTCCTTACGGCCGATTTCGGCCTCCATTCGTAGTTATCGGCAACTTTAAAAGAAAATACGCCAGGAATGTGTCCTTATCCCAGGAATGCGTTCTTATCCGACAATACAGCCACCCGCGGCGAGGCTTTGGTTTTTTACCAATCAGCTCCAACCAGCTCAGCTTTAACCAATCAGCTTATCTGACACAATCCGACGAGTCTGTCTTCTGAACGCTGATTGGCTTGAGTGTGACGTCATCGCTATGCCATCATACAGTAGGTGCCGTAGAGAGTATCAACATAGTACCAATATGTTAAATAGTTTTAAATACTTTTTTCGCGAATTGTGCACTTCTGGCACCAGTTTTAAAAAGAAAATGAAAAATAATAATGTCAAAATGAAAAACAACGATATCTTCATATTTCACGAAGGTGGCCCTTTTCCTTTAAGAGATGATGAGACCAGGGCCTGGTTTTATAAAAGGAATTACTTACGGCGTTGCGTCAATTATGCCAGATTTGGCGTATTTGATGCCAATTCGGTTTCATAAACCTGGAGACCGGAGTAATTCACGCCATCGAAATTACGGAGCTTCATTCACGGCAAATGCTCGATTCCGGACCAATTGATGCCATTTGGGTTTCATAAAAAGACGTAATTAACGCCAAATATTTTATCAAGTTCTTGATATCAGTGGTGTAAACCACTCACAAAAATGTTGCGTGAATTTGAATTAATGTGAAGATTCTAAGCTAATTTTTAATATATTTTATAATGTTGAGCCCGGTGAGGAAGAAAGAACAGATAAAATGAGAAAAAGAAACTGCAAATATTCTGTACCAGTCGCTTTTTGTGGCCACTATCGGAATTTTGTTTATTTTATTCGCCGCGCCGCGCCACTTTCGTAGTTAGGCACTTCTGCTTAGCTGGCTTTCTGCTGTTTTCAATATATTGATTTAATATTTGTATTTTGTATTTGTATTTATTCAACAGACCGTCAACAGGCACTTGACCCACTAAAAGACGGAGTCACAAGACTAAAAACAATAAATATGGCACACACAGGCAGCATACACACGCCGGGATAAAAACGCAGATACACATGTAACTAAAATAGAAAACAATGAACAATATAATGAAATAGGCAATGAAGTGAAAATATGAAGAAAAAAATGTGTGAACGACCACTGAGCCTAAGTTTTAACCCGCGCACCGACGGGGGTCTGCGCCAACTTAGTACCGACGGGGGGGGGCGGATGACCGCCCCCCCCTGAGATCTCGAGAACGAAGGAAGATAGCGACAAGCGGTAAACGGCATCGGATACGCACGGACAAGGTCTACAATTTTTACTAAGGTCATTTTCAGGTCAGGTCAAAGATGACGTCACAGGGGTCGAAAAAGTCAAAATGGCGGCGCTAGATATGGAGAGGGTTTTTCTCGAATAACTTTCGAAGTAGTCAAGATAGGAACAAACTAAGGGCATCATCGTGATCCTCTCGTCAATCCGCATCGAATGATATATATGTTGACCTCGAAAGGTCAAGGTCAAAGGTTGACCTCAGGTCACGTGACCTCGAGGTCATCATGTATATCATTCGATGCGTCTTGACGAGCTGAACACAATGAGACCATCCGCGCGGCTGTATCTTGTTCCTGTAAGGAGCTATTGGCAAAAAACCTTTGGTGACCTTTGATGACGTCACATGACCTTACAGCTGCCCAACAGCAAAACAGACCTCAAGGTAGTGAAGGTTGATCGTATGTGAAGTCATTTATGGTATATGGGGCCATTCCGACCCGTTTTAGTGGTAAAAACAGGGAGTTGATTTTTCCCCCATTGACTTATAATGGGGAGGTCGCGAAATTGACCTGACCTTAGGTCACCGACATCAAAATTCCGAGATATACAAATTGTAGCTACTAATGACCTAATAACATCCTGCAACTTTCAAAGGCCTCCGACATCTACTGTAGCTCTGGCACGGCGACAAAGTTGCAAAAAAGTGACTTGAGGTTGGGTCATTCAAAGTGACCTGGTGACCTGACCTTAAAAGTTAGGAGGTTCAAACTT